TTCCTCAAAATTCTACGATGGCTAAACACTCCAAGAACCCTTCTGCCTCCACTACAAAAAGTACTCATTCTAAGGGAAAACCCTCATCTCAGCCTCCAGAACCAGTAGACCTAGGGTTTGACCACTCATAAGGGTTTTCCTCTAGAGTCTGACCTAAATTTCTGGGATACCCCAAATAGGTTTTTCTTTGTTGCTCTGAAAGACAAGCACATCGCTCGCTGCAGAGTAATCGACCTTGATGAAATGGAGGCCCTCAATTGCAAGGTAAAATATCTGTTTGTTTTCCGAGGATGGTCTAAGTTCCTCTATGTACCCCTTCCCAAAGTTTATGAACCTTTAGTGAGAATGTTCTATGCTAATCTTCGCTCTAGCAAGCCTGATAAGTTAGAATCTCTAGTTCTAGGAAAATGCATTGTCCTTGATTGTGCCATGTTTGACTCAATTTTTCAGTGTAAGTGCTCCGGTTTTCCTATGCTTTTCAAGAATACTGCGCCTGATAATTTTGAAATTTTCTTTTGATCAAGCAAAATTTTGCATTGCTGAGTGTCCATCTGATTCCCTTCCTAACCAGTTAGGTCCCATGATGTTAGTTTCGAAACTCGAGTTATGTCCCACATTGTTGCAACTACTCTTCTTCCTCGCACTGGCTCATTCTCCACCTTTTCTCAACGAGACAGCTTTCTCGTCTACTATCTTGTGACCAAAATTAAGGTTAAACTATCCTCATGGGTCATAAACTTCATGATTGAGAGTGTTGATGATCCCACCAGTCTATCCTATAGTATGGCTATCACCCACATCTTGGAAGCCCACAACATCTCTATTTCTGAATACCTCTTTGTCTCTGTTTCAAAGTCCTACAACTCTAGAGCCTTTGCCAGTATGATATATGTGTGTACCAAGGGCTCCTGGGTGAAGAAACATGAAGGTAAAGTCAAGAGTGTTCAGCCTGATTCTAATATCAAAGCCTCTGTTTCCCATCATAGTGTAAGTGATCCTGATCTTGTAGAAAAACTGACTGCCATTGACAACAAGTTAACCATCATCAAGGACCTTCTTGCTACAACTCAATATAGAGTTGGGGACATCCATGCCATCTCCAAAGAGACTGGGTCCGACGTTTCAAAGATAAGGGTTAAAATTCTCAAACTTGCAGAAAACGCAGTCAAAGCCTTCAAGGAGGTACATGACAGGATTGATGGGGTGACAGTTTCAGCTAATGCCAGCTTTGAGCGTCTAAAGGAGGCAATTTGCAACACTATCACTTATTTCTTGCGTCGTTAATTCTGGATGTTTTAGACAATTTTCTTTTGTTTTTTTGCTGTTTTGGAGTGGATCACCAGTCGTTGGATATTTCTCTTTATTTTGCTAAACTCTGCATGCTTATAATTTGCAAATACTTACATATGATGTGCTTGTTTCTACTTAATTTCAATTGTATCTATGCATATCCCCTCTTTGCTGATGTCAGAAAAGGGGAGAAGAAAAAAGAAGTCATGCATTGCAGGACAAATAGCAGCACCTGTTGAGGGGGAGTCAACTGAAGCATATGATTGAAGGGGAGTAGACTGAAGCATATGAGAAAAGAAGCCATACATTGCAGGACAACACCTGTTGGGGGAGTCGACTAAAGAACATGTTGAGGGGGAGTCAACTACACCTGAGCAGGCCAACAGAGAAGCAAGTTGTTATTTATATATATTATTTTTGTCATCATTAAAAAGCAGGATATTGTTAAATATGAGTTTTAATGATGAAAAATAATATATCACATTTGGTACAGGATCACAAGGGATAAACAAAGGAATCAAGAAGCCCTATCATTCAAGTATGGATTAAGGAAACAATATATGTTAACGGGAGCTCCAGAAGCAAAAAGGAAAAAGTATCAATGCTTAGAGATGAAAAAGGAAGAAGCGACGGAGATCCGTAAAAGAATCAATCAATAATTTAATAGATGATTGACGGAAGCTATTATAGGAAGGTCCCAAATCAAAGAAAAACAAGATTGCAAAGCGATACACAGGAAATCGTTGAAGCCCAAAATGAAGAGATCCATCAGTGATCACTCAACTAATGGAAAAGATATGCCCAGCGGATGAACAGTCTGTCAAGACCAAAAATCAAGGAAGATCAACGGAAACTTATCTTTATTCTTGTAAAGAATCAATTTATGATCCCTTTCAAGGATCAACTCCCTTGGGTTTGCTGTCTCTCAAGATTCACAAGTAAAGAAGGCCTCACGAATTATATATACATCTGTTCCAGGCTTGAAGAAAACATACTTTGAATGAACCATTATCACTCCTTTTGTTCTACTCCAAACAAGCATTGTAGTTTTTTTAGATCTGTTGTGTAATTAGTGAGAGAAGAAAAAGAGACAAACACCGGTGAGGTATTGTATCAAGAAGAGAAAAGTGACACAGAGATTAAGCAGTTGGTGTAAAGGTACATCAACCATTCTATACTCGAGAAACCTCAAACACTGAAAGAGATCACCCTTGCAACCCAAGGGGACTAGAGTAGGATTCACATTGAATCCGAACCAATATAAAATTCTGGTGTCTTTATTTCCTGTATTTTATTTGAACAACTATTATTCTCTAGTCGACCAATTGATAAACTAGTCAACTACTTATAATACTATAATTAAAAACAGATAATCCCCCGCCCCCCAACACCCATTGTACTTTCAGTATACAATTTCATTAGATTTCATTAACTGAGCAGCACTTTATTGGTGGATCTTAAAGCAAAATACGGCGTCCCACCTTCCTTCGTTCAAATAGAAATTTTGGCACAATTTATAGCAGTTCATAAAAGAAATTTCATACATATTCTATATCCTCAAATTAAAAGAACTAGAATCAGATACGAAATTATTGCTAATCCAATTAGTGCAGTAAGCATCACCATAATGATATAGTCTTTCTTTTACTTAGATTATCAGTTCAAATATCCAGGTTCTGACATGATAATCTTACATATATATAATCGATATAGAAAACATACCTGAAGCGGAAGCCATTATCACGAAGTGGAAGCGTTTGTTGAATTGGTTTCTCGCCCTTGTCCTAGCTTTCATTATCGTCGCCTTTAGTGATGGAAAAGAAGAACGGAATAGGTGGTAACCCTAATGGGTGGGCAGAGGACCAATTTATAGAGGTTCTCACTTAATCTGGTACGTCCATCAAGTAACTGATGCAACAGGTATGATTTGTCTTTCATTAAATATTAATTATGGGCCTTAAGTTTACTGGGTCACAAAAATAATTAGAAAAGAATCTAACATATTGAACTTAATAAAATATACTTGCTGCAAAATCAATCACTCATCTTATTGGACAAGAAACTCTCAAGAGAATTAATTCCTCATAAAATTGTGAAATGTTTTTCCCTTTTCGCTGAGGTGGATGGAGACAGCACCAAATGTGCATAATGGCATGGTCAAAATCAGGTTGCCTCCAAAAATTCAGCCACACGACTTGAAATCTAATTAATAGTGTTCATTGTCCAACTCTGCCTAAAAGTAATGCTTTTATTTGACGTACACTAATTGAGTTTTTGAAAGAGTTTAGGGGTTTGACCATTCTTGGAAGAGGGAAAAGAAAAAGGGAAAAGAAGAACAAAGTTATATATATGCGGTTATTTAACTGATGTTTAGCTTATGATGATCAGCGGATCTCATAATTCCCTAATGATAGGTGGTTGTGAAGCACACGTGACTGAGATCTATCTAATGTATGGAAGGACTTCATCAAATTATCATATGATATAAATATTTAGTGCGGATAAATTCTTATCATATATGCTAAATATTTATGACTTTCAGTAGATTCTTTTTACGAGAAAAAAAAAATTCATAACATTCTTATAAAATCACGGATTATGCTGGGTAAACGACAAAGTCAAAGTGAAGTCTGTTAAAGTAAATAAAATTACATGGAAGTTAAAATATTAGAATAATTCGTTGATTACCTTTGAGGTAGAGGAAAATGAGGTTTTACGTATATACCTCTGAAGGTATTATATGAGACTCGAATATTATCTCATATGAGTCTTGCATTAACCTTTTTGAATTGCTAAATTTACACTCCTTTTAGCGATGTGAACTTAGAAAAGTCAATCTAGGATTCCTTAAGTATATTTCTTTTTCTTTATAAGTTATCACGAAAACATCAATTTGAGAATATAATTGGAAGAAGTTACGAGAATGTGAACTGTATGAAAATTTGAGCCTTGAGCAAATAAGTATAATTTTATTGAATTAAAAAACTCTATTCTTATATAATTACTGTTATCTAAGATATCTACGTCGACTTTCAACTTGTCAAGTCACGCATGCAATGGAGACAACTCTTCTCTTCTTTTTTATACTTTGAATATTTCTTCGACCGTTTGCTTCAGGTGCTCATCATATCTGAATATAAGAGACAAGAAGCCTCATTTTCAGTAAAAAAACATTATACAGTAAAATTTCTCGAATTAAGAAATCTTGGGATGGAAATTAAACCTAGCTAATTTTCTGAGAGATATGCTAAATGAAATGTCCCTTTTCGTCTCTTTTTCAGTTAATATAGTTATCTGTGTTAAGGAACTAACGGGGAATGAAGTTAAAGTGAATTTTCTTTAGCAAACTTATGGAATTGGATTAAGGGTCCTAATTAATTTCCTCTAATCAAGGAATGTTAATTATATGTACTTCAAATCAAATTCTTCAACAAATATATATACAAAACTCTTTAAGCTTTTTTCGCTGTAATTTCTAGATAAAGAAAAAAAATGGACTTTACTAAAATTTTCCCTCATCAGTCCATGGCCAAAAGCTTCTTGCGTTAAACTTAGACCAAGTTTGGCAATAAGGCAATAGCACATATATTATTTATTGCAATGTTCATGTACTCAACACAAATTATATGCTAAAGTCAACCCTTAACCAACCCATTATTCCCTGCACAAATATCTTCATACTCAATCTTTATTGGTGCATTTGGTGTAATCTTGAGGCTTAATTTGCTTAAGAAGAAAAGTGACATCTTAATTTGTCACCATTTCTTTCAGACATTCTTGGTTTCTTTATTTTCAAGGTAATGTATACTAGCATTTCTACCTAGCTAGTACTCTTTTGCATATTGTGTAAATACTTATTACTTTTATTAAGTTATGAAAATGAAAATGGAATATTTGGTATTCTGGTTTCTCCTATTCTTGGAATTTGGGTTTGATAATGTGACATTCAGATTAGTTTAAAGAATATTTGCAAATAAGGGAATATGGATCTTTGAGTATTCTGGAAGAGAATTTATCTCATCATGGTGTTTTTAAGATTAATGTTTTCAAGTGGATATGTTATATTTTCAGTATTTTAAATGGTTTCACATTTTCTTGTTTTTTTTCTTTTTCTTGTCCATTCTATTAATGCTAGCTTCTTTTCTAATAAAGTTCAATGGATATTCACTTTTCAGTTGTTCTTTTTAATCTGTGACAATATAAACCTCTGCTTCTTTTTCCTTTTTCTTTTTTTGTTGGGGGACGGATTGGGGGTGGTCAGTGATGTGAGCTAGATTGAAGGGAGTATTAACAGGCATGCGGGAGTAGTATATACAGTTGAGAGAGTGGTACTTAACATACATAAGGAATATAAGTTAATTATTACTTTACTAGGTTACAGTTAAGTCCAATTACTTTTTAAGAAGTGTTATATACACATTTACTCGACTAAGTTTTCCTATTTGGACACTTTACGTCCTAGTCCCTAGTTAGGCATATCAGTATTTGTACAGAGTTGAGCTCTCATTTTATTTTGCTTCTTCATGGAATGAAACCTATCTATTTTCTGCTCCTTCTTAGCTGTTCCTCTTTCAATTACTGTAAATTGCTTAGTTTTTAGAATTAATTACAACAGTCAGATGAAAAACTTTGCTTGCACCTGATATATGTACTAAATTAATGAGTGTAATACATGTGGCTTACGTGTAATCTTTTATCAATTTACTATAATTAAATGATGTGTTTCCTCACAATTTCTTGGCTCTTGATGTTTATGAGTTCTTTGAGAACTTAGTTAACGTAACGCGTTCTTGTATTATTTGTTTACAAGTATAGAGAGTTAATCCCATGTGACCTTTAGCTGCATTTCTTATGGCATACTTCAGCTCAACTTTATTGCTTTGCACATACACTTGTGTATGCTACATATAGTACTATTCTTGCCCAAGATCCTATGCAATAGCCTCCCTCTCTCCCCTCTTCAAATAAGCCTACAATTACTGTGTTTTTACTTTCAAGATTTGTTCTTTACTTCATTTTACATTATATATAGGGATAATCCACTCTGAACGGGATTGCTGATATGACAAGTGGGGATTCTTTAGATGGAATGGTGAGTGAATCTATGGGAGGAAAGGCTAAAATGAGACAACAAAAGACCAGTTGCACAAGGCTTGTTACTGTTTTAACTTGTTTACAATTCTCATTTGCTGTTTATGCTACATTTCTTCTATATTACATGACCCCCTCTCTAGATTTAAGGACTAACCCAGACTTCAGTTGGACTACCCAAATCGCTCAGCAGTGGAAGCAATTTATAATCCAACCCCACGTCGTTACTCGTTATAATCAGGAAGCTAATTCACTTGTTAGACCTGAAACTCAACCAATTACTCCCTCTGAAGTCTGTGAACATGAGAAAATTGATTTTGTACAGAAGAAGTCGAACGATGCTGTCACGATCAAGTTGAAGACAGAACTTTATCAACAAGTGTTAGCTTTTCAAAGCAAGTCCCTTGGTGCTGAGACTCTTTCTGAGGTAATGTCAATGAAGTCCAAGTGGGATTTGCGCGGTCCAAACAAGCCAAAAATTACAGTAATCTTGAACCATTTCAAGAGGAAAACACTATGTGCCCAGCTTGACTCTTTGCTAGGCCAGACTCTCCCATTTCATCATGTTTGGGTACTTTCATTTGGAAGTCCAAATGAGCAATCATTAAAGAATATTGTGGACAGATATAATGACTCAAGAATAAGTTTTATCAGTTCAAGTTATGATTTCAAGTACTATGGAAGATTCCAATTGGCTTTACAAACAGAAGCTGATCTTGTATATATCCTAGATGATGACATGATTCCTGGAAAAAAGATGCTGCAAATTCTAGCACATGTGGCAGGGACAGACAAGTATAAGAATTCTGTTTTGGGGAGCATTGGTAGGATTTTGCCTTTTAGACAGAAGGATTCTAGTTTTCCAAGCTACAGGATGTTTCGATCGAAAGAAGCAGGGCTTTATTTGCCTGATCCTGCTTATAATATAACTGTGGATAAAATTGTTCAGGTGGATTTCCTCTCCAGTTCTTGGTTTATGTCTGCTGAACTTGTCAAGACACTTTTCATTGAGACACCATTCACTTTCATGACAGGGGAAGACTTGCACTTAAGGTATGTACTTTAACAGATTCCAATATTTTTCTTTTTTTTGCCAAAAAAAGTTTCACATAGCAAGTATTTTCTACTTGAGTAAAAATTACTAGTAAATCATATGTATGCTTTCATAAAGTTCATTTGATCTGTTTAACTAAGGGAGGATAATACAGTTTTGTGAGTTAGTCATATGTTATATAGTAGATTGCGCAACTTTGTTTTTATATGAATATGAATGATGTCAAATATTATTCAACTTTGTTTCATATGTTATCTAATGACTTCAATTTCCTGGAAAAAAACATGCAGCTATCAGCTTCAGAAGTACAGAAATGCTGGTTCATTTGTGCTACCAGTAGATCCAAATGATAAAGAAACTTGGGGTGACAGTGAGCATAGACTTGCCTACGTATCCGAAACAACTGTAATTTTCAAGGACGTTGTTCAAGTCCGAGATGATCAATGGTGGAGAGCACTCTCTACCGGTTATGTGACACAATGGGCAGCGATGTATCCTGAAAAAATCGATGCACTCTTCTATGCCCACTCTGTCGATGAAGTTAAAGCTCTCGCGCCTCTTCTTGAAAAGTTCAGATCAACTGTTGGAAAGAAGGCATATATTGTTGTCTCAGGAGGCAATTTTTGCCCTTGTGAAGATGCTGCAGCAGCTTTGAAATGGCCAAAGGCAGTCTGCAAAGAAAGAAGATTCAAGATTATGGATATAGGAGTTGGTGCTTTATTAGGAACTTCAAATTCGGAGGTGCCTGTTGTTCAAGCAGTGTATGCTAGCATGAAAGGACTTGTCAAAATTCATAATCCTAGCCTGGTGATAACAGTAGCTGATGCTGACTCTAATGTGAAGAAAGCTCTAAATATGGCTACAGAGACTAATACAAACAGTTCAACGCTCGTTCTTCTACCTAAATCATCGGTGCCAAAGGTTCTATGGATGGCTGATCTTCGTTCCACAGCATTGCCAAGTAAGAAATTACTGTGATTTTACGCCTAATATTTCCCTTCCCTTTTGTCTACACTTGATCTGACATTTTGACCAATGCATTTGTTATTTCAGATTGGAATAGGATGAAAATTTCGGTAAATATCATCACACAGAACAGAGCTAATTCACTAGCAAGGCTTCTCAAATCTCTCAGTGAAGCACACTATATTGGTGACGAAGTTTCTATTACTTTCAACATGGATAGAAAGGTGGATGAGGCAACTATAAAGCTTGTCAACACATTTAATTGGCCTCATGGATCCAAAATTATTCGAAGGAGAATCATCCAAGGAGGCCTCATTCGAGCTGTGAGCGAGAGTTGGTACCCCTCCTCGGATGATGATTTTGGACTCTTACTTGAAGATGACATTGAAGTATCCCCTTACTATTACCTTTGGATTAAATATGCTCTCTTGGCCTATCACTATGACCCTGAAATATCACTTCCTGAGCTCTCGGCGATCTCTCTTTATACTCCAAGATTGGTGGAAGTGGTAAAAGAAAGGCCTAAATGGAATGCAACAGATTTCTTCAAGCACATTCATCCAAACACACCTTATCTCCACCAATTGCCTTGCAGTTGGGGTGCAGTTTTCTTTCCAAAACAATGGCGGGAATTCTACGTTTACATGAACATGAGATTCACAGAAGATGCCAAGCAAAATCCAGTTCAAATCCCAAGATCAAGAACAAATGGTTGGCAAGCTTCTTGGAAGAAATTTTTAATAGATATGATGTACTTAAGAGGGTATGTTACACTTTATCCCAACTTTCCAAATCAAACGAGCTTTTCAACCAATCATATGGAACCAGGAGCTCATATCGCTGCTAAGGAAAATGTGATTAAGCATAACAAGGTTGATTTTGAGGTGCCATTGTTGAAGGAAGACTTGAGAAACTTTCTGCCAAATGGGAAAATGCCTGCAGCTTCAAAATTGCCTTCATTAAACCTCTTCAATCAGCCTGTTTCTCTCAAGGGCTTAAAGGCGGCTGGAGCAAAACTGGGGCAAGATATTCTTAAATGCAATCCAACTGAGGTAGTAGAAGTTAACCATGAGACAGGTCTGCCTTCAAATTGTGCAAGATTCTGAGAATTCCTCACTTTATCCAATTCCTTTTTTTTTCTTCCGCTCCCAAAAGTTACATCACTTGGTATAAGTGATAGTGAGGAATTAGGGCGAGAGCAAGTTGATGCACTGACTAATAATCCTTATTCTTGATGACAGAACTGAGACTTGTATAGTTACCCTTTGCAGCCAAAAGTGGCTATTTGTACCCTCCTCTTCTTTTCTATCTGCCTATATATGTATCTTTTATCGTTTTGGTAACTTAAGATTTGTACATGACATATATGACTGGATGGAGTTCGTTAGCTCCCTACAGAGATAAATAGGTACCTCTCTATTTGTACTTTTATATATTGTGCATACCACTCATTTGGTTCTGGGAAGTGAATAAAACTTCCGTATACTGGTGAAACCGGGGTAACATATACCCCGATTTACCGGTGTATCAAACGAAGCGAAGACATAACTCCACAGGATCGAAATCGACGCCAGGGACTTCTCGTATTAAGGCCCGAACGGGGTGCTCACCACCGGGCCTGACAAGACAATACCTCCCAAACTCGGAACGAGCTCCGGAGACCTCGGAAAGCATTACAAACGGTTGCACACTACTAACGGAGGACCGTGATATCCTCACCCAACAGGATATACGGCGCGGATCTCGCCCGATGCCAGTGTCATATCAGTGATTGATGTACAAGGAGGATTTTTACCTTGTATAGAATCGTACTAGGGGTAAAATAATCCGTTTTAAAGGTCAGCAGTTTGGCGCTCACCGTAGGGCTAAGGATAATAGTGGTGGTTTGATACAAGTCTCCATAACACACTCTATTTTACACAAATTCTTTAAGGTCTCAATTTCAGGTCAGCTTCAGAATGTCAAATTCTCAGTCCACTCACTTAAACATTCAGGATGGGTCTGGCCCAAAATAACAATCTGGTGCCTAGTAATGAGGTGGCCCCTGCTGATCCCAACGGGTTCCCAGTCGTAGACCCAGTCGATGCTAACTCGCAGGTGGCCATCGAAACCAACCTACCTACGACCACGAGAACAGCGTTCGCGGGGGAGACCGACCAACGGCTCGAGGAGCGCCCGAAGGCGAAGGCGACGGGGTCAGTCTGCGATTTGATCTTCGAAATGTTGGAGGTCAACAGGCGGCGATAGCGCAACTACAAAATCAGAGTCGCGCCCCCAGTAGGGTGGACGCCAAACCATCCTAGGAAGACACCCGAAAGAATGAGCAGATCACTGAAAGGGCAGGTGAACCTGAGTCCGATGTCAGACCTAAAGTAATGAAAATGCTTGAAGCATTAACAAAACGGGTGGAATTAGGTGAAAAGAAAATTGAGGCAAACGACAAAAAGGTGGAAACATATAATTCCCCAGTCGATCAAATCCCATGAGCGGCCCCAATATTGAAAGGCCCAGATTCCAAGAAATTTGTTCAAAAGCCTTTTCCTCCGAGCGCGGCACCGGAGCCAATCCCGAAGAGGTTTTTTATGCCCGATATTCCAAAATATAACGTAACCACGGATCCAAATGAGCATGTGACCTCCTACATATGCGCCATCAAAGGTAACGACTTGGAAGACGATGAAATCGAGTCAGTGTTATTAAAAAAGTTCGGGGAAACTCTGTCAAAAGGAGAAATGATATGGTACCACAACTTGCCCCCAAATTCCATTGATTCGTTCGCTATGCTCGCGGATGCTTTTGTAAAGGCTCATGCCGGGTCCATCAAGGTCGAAACCAAAAGATCGGATCTTTTCAAGGTTAAGCAAAGGGACAACGAGATGCTCAGGGAGTTCGTGTCAAGATTTCAAATGGATCGGATGGACTTACCTCTGTTTGCGGAAGATTGGGCCGTTCAGGCATTCACTCGGGTACTGAACCCCGAAGCTCCTTGGCTTCGCAACAGCTGAAAAAAAACTTGGTAGAGTACCTCGGCAGTAACTTGGGCCGACATCCATAACAGGTACCAATCAAAAATCAGAGTCGAGGACGACCAACTCAGAGCCCTTTTCGGGTCTGTTTATCCTATCAGAACTGACAACAGACCTAAGAGAGTCATCGATCATAAATCAAGGCTGGTCCGAGATCAATACCAACCGTATAGTGCAGATTGAAAGGGAAATGGGTCGGGGCGCAACTCTACAAGGAACGAAAAGAGAAGCGATTGAGGGCCTAATATTCGAGGCTTGATGAGCAAAAATGGTTTCGACAGGCCGCTCGGCGGAAGGGGAGCTCCAAGATTGTCAGAGTATAACTTCAGTGTTGATGCAACAAGCATCGTATCAGCCATTGGATGCATCAAGGAGACCAAGTGGCCTCGACCATTGCAATCCGACCCTACCCAGAGAGATCATAACCAGATGAGTAAGTATCATGGCACTCATGGCCACAGGACCGAGGACTGCCGACAATTAAGAGAAGAAGTTACCCGGTTGTTCAATAACGGGCATCTCCGGGAATTTCTGAGTGATCGAGCCAAAAACCACTTCAAGAATAGGGACTCCAACAAACAGGCCGAACAAGAAAAACCTCAACACGTCATCAACATGATCATTGGAAGGGTTGATGTCCCACAGGGACCGATGATAAAGTGCACTAAAGTATCTATTACGAGGGAAAAGCGCACCCCAGATCATATCCCGGAGGGAACCATTTCATTCAGCGACGAGGATACCAAAGGATTCGTACAGCCTCATAATGATGCACTGGTGATATCTGTGCTTATAAATAAATCTCAAATTAAGCATGTGTTGATTGATTCGGGCAGCCCGGCCAACATCATCAAATCGAGGGTCGTAGAGCAATTAGGGTTACAGGATCGAATAGTACCGGCGATTCGGGTGTTGAACAGATTTAACATGGCTTGCAAAACTACTAAAGGAGAAATAACTTTGCCAATGAATATCGTCGGGACAATTCAAGATACAAAATATTACGTGATCGAAGGGGAAAAGAGGTATAACGCCTTATTTGAAAGGCCATGGGTTCTTAACATGAGGGCAGTACCCTCAACACTGCACTAGGCACTAAAGTTCCCTACGCTGAGAGGAGTCAAGACGGTACACGGAGAGCAGCCGACCACAAAAGAAATGTTCGCAGTCGACGAGGTGATCCCAGTGCCCGTGATCTCAACATCAAAGAACACGGAGCCGAACAGGAAGGAAGAAATTAAGTAGCAATCATCGATATCGGCCCCAACCGAACCAAAAGACCGAGGAGTAGGCGAGGAGGATGATTATGGAGTTCCTAGGTCGTTCATAGCTCTCAATGATTTCGATGCCACCAAGTCGACGGTCAAGCAGCTGGAGCAAGTCATATTGATCGAACACTTACCCGATCGGAAGGTATACATGGGTACGGGGTTAACTCCCAAGCTCAGGAAAAAACTCATTGAACTTCTTATAGCTAACATAGATTGTTTCGCTTCGTCCCATCTTGACATGACATGGATCCCGCCGGAGGTAACTACTCATAAGCTGAGTTTGGACATGAATTTCCACCCGGTTAAGGAGAAAAGGAGACCACAGTCCAAGATCAAGCACACATTCATTAACGACGAGGTATCTAAACTCCTTAAAATAGGATCCATTCGGGATGTTTAGTACCCGGACTGGTTGGCCAACATAGTGGTAGTACCTAAGAAAGGAAATAAACTAAGAATGTGTGGAATTATAAAGATCTGGACAGGGCATGCCCTAAGGATTCTTTTCCTTTGCCTAACATCGATCTAATGATCGATGCGACGGACGGGCACGAGATACTCAGTTTTCTCCATGTCTATTCCGGGTACAACCAAATTCGGATGGACCAGGGAGACCAAGAGAAAACTTCCTTTATCACTAAATTCGACACTTATTATTATAACGTAATGCCATTCGGATTAAATAATGTCGATGCCACCCTATCAACGCCTAGTAAATGGGATGTTTGAAGAACAAGTAGGAAAATTAATGGAAGTTCATATTGACGACATGTTAGTCAAGTCCCTGCGAGCAGAGGACCAGTTGAAACATTTGCAGGAAACCTTCGACTTATTGAAGAGATACAATATGACGCTGAACTCGGAGAAGTGTGCATTTGGAGTCGGATGAATGTTCCTCGGGTTCATGGTATCTAATTGACGAATCGAGATCAATCTCGACAAAATCAAAGCCATATAAGACATCACTGTATTGGACAACATCAAAGTCGTTCAGAGGCTGACCAGGCATTTAGCCGCGCTGGGGCGATTCATATCGAGGTTCTCTGAATAAAGCCATCGATTCTTCTCCCTGTTGAAGAAGAAGAATAACTTTTCCTGGACCTCGGAATGCCAACAGGCTTTGAAAGAACTCAAATGGTACCTCTCGAGTCCCCCCTGCCCCACACTCCGAAGGCGGATGAACGGTTGTACCTTTACTTGGCGGTTTCCGAGGTGGCGGTAAGTGGAGTCCTAGTCCGAGAAGAGGAAGGTACGCAATTCCCTATTTACTATGTCAGTAGAACTCTAGGCGAGGCCGAAACAAGGTATCTTCCCTTGGAAAAATTAGCGCTCGCTTGCTAAGCGCCTCCAGAAAGTTAAAATCGTACTTTCAATGTCACCCTATCGCGCCCCCTTTTTCCTTTCCTCGCGGAGGGAATCGGGTTTATGATATTTTTTGGTATGGGACAACTCTTTCCTTTTGGGAAAGGGGTTTTCATTTTTTGAAGAGTCGCCACCTAACAATTTAAGGTGCGTTAGGGCACCTATAAGGTTCATTTATAACTACGTTTGGTAACCAGAGATAGGGTAAGGGCTTGAAATTATCCTAAGGGGAAGGTGTTAGGCACCCCTCAGGATCCACTAGTGTGGTTCCCGGCCAGACAGTTTTTTGTGAATTTGTACAATTAGTAAATAAAAAAGTATGGCTCAAATAATAGGGGATTTAAGTTTAAGTACACAGGTGTTTGAAAAGTAATTAATGACAAAGCAAGATTTTGAAAAGAATTACAATCTAAGCATACTTGGGAATGTAAAGGGGTATCCTAGGTTTGTTTATAATATGGATCACATCAATGCAATACCCGGTAATCACTCCTTGGAAAGGGGCTACGCATGGTATTGATGCATCGGTCATCATATCCATATCTAGCCTTTCCCACCTCGTGAAGGTAAGTAAAGCGAGGGTTGGTCTCGACCCTTATTGCATGTTGTTACCCGTCCCTTCCTATCAATCCCGGAGGAATTTAGGACTCCTATCCTACAAGAAGAGGTTCTAGGCAGACCTTCAGGTTTATAGGCAAAATACTAAGGCGACATACAAAACAAGTAGGACTTCAATTAAAGGGGGAACATGGAAGATAAACGAAAGGCTCAAATACACCTCCACAGGTAATGCACATAGACAACATGACTCATACACAATTTAAGTCTGAATTTAAATCCTATGCATGGTATCTAAGTGATAACAGCAGAACCAGATCAATTACACGACTCAGAAAAGAAGTCCGAATCAGGCTTGCCTACTGATTTTAACAGTTGATAATTAAACACTGATCGCAGAGACGGTTCTGGTTTTATTTAAAATTGTTTACCTAAGGCTTGCCTAGGCGTAAAATAGTATGCAGCTGTTATTCAGAATTATTAGAAGACAGTTTGGAAATTACTTTACCCTAAGAGCATTTTGTTCGAGTTGATACGAATGCAGAGATTATTACCAGTTGTTTTAAACAGGATAATCAAGTGTGAAGTTGTTTTTACCTCTTTTATAACCAGCAGTTTACACTAAGTGTGAATGCAAGTACGAATAAGATCCTAAAATATGGTATCTAAGATGCATGTATAAAACTCATGATGCAGAATTCCTAGAGCAGGATTTCTAAATGCATATGGCAGTATTGCAGAATTTCCTAAGAGCAAGATTTCTAAATGCACATGGCAGCGTAGAACATAATAGTAAAGTGCTAATTATTAGCAGATTTTAACACATGATTTTGTAAGGGTGCACATGCTGACAATAAACATGAGACCTAAGAGCATGATTTCTAATGCATGTATGAACCCTAAGCATGGTTTCTATTGCGCAAGTAGGAGCATAAACCTAATAACATGTTTTCTACCCTTAACAACTATAGCGCGCATATTTACCCTATACCTTTTCACTAGCCAACCCCAATACTTGTTTACAACAAGTTATTACATACCAACATTGAAATGAGTTACACTATAGGAAGCCTGATTAGGACTTCCTCTCTGAGTTATGTAATCAATCACCTCAAGTGCCAAGATTGTTTCATAGCTTTTCCTCATATCTAGGTGTGTCAGAGTTCCCTAAGGACCTCAAGGGATCCCGGGCAGTGCTCACACCCAAATTTCATAGCCCAAAGACAAAACGACGTAGTCGACGTAAGTGTAAAGGGAACCGGACCTTAACCTTCAGTTGTCGTACGTAACGTTCGAA